GTGTTCCTCACGTGTGCCCCAAAGAATGAGGTGATTTGGTAAAATGCTATGCCCAAGATTACTATCCGAGTGCCGGCGGTGGGGTGGTTCAAATAGCTTCGGCTATCACCTCATTATGTCCGGTCGTGATGGTCAAGTGGATTAAGGCGTCTTGTACATACCAGTTGCGTTGCTCCTGGGAGTATGGGTTCGAGTCACTTCTGGGGTGTGAGTTTTCAGTTGCATATTGTCCTGGGGACCATTCAGGCTTGTTCGCATTTGTGTTCCTCACGTGTGCCCCAAAGAATGAGGTGATTTGGTAAAATGCTATGCCCAAGATTACTATCCGAGTGCCGGCGGTGGGGTGGTTCAAATAGCTTCGGCTATCACCTCATTATGTCCGGTCGTGATGGTCAAGTGGATTAAGGCGTCTTGTACATACCAGTTGCGTTGCTCCTGGGAGTATGGGTTCGAGTCACTTCTGGGGTGTGAGTTTTCAGTTGCATATTGTCCTGGGGACCATTCAGGCTTGTTCGCATTTGTGTTCCTCACGTGTGCCCCAAAGAATGAGGTGATTTGGTAAAATGCTATGCCCAAGATTACTATCCGAGTGCCGGCGGTGGGGTGGTTCAAATAGCTTCGGCTATCACCTCATTATGTCCGGTCGTGATGGTCAAGTGGATTAAGGCGTCTTGTACATACCAGTTGCGTTGCTCCTGGGAGTATGGGTTCGAGTCACTTCTGGGGTGTGAGTTTTCAGTTGCATATTGTCCTGGGGACCATTCAGGCTTGTTCGCATTTGTGTTCCTCACGTGTGCCCCAAAGAATGAGGTGATTTGGTAAAATGCTATGCCCAAGATTACTATCCGAGTGCCGGCGGTGGGGTGGCTCAAATAGCTTCGGCTATCACCTCATTATGTCCGGTCGTGATGGTCAAGTGGATTAAGGCGTCTTGTACATACCAGTTGCGTTGCTCCTGGGAGTATGGGTTCGAGTCACTTCTGGGGTGTGAGTTTTCAGTTGCATATTGTCCTGGGGACCATTCAGGCTTGTTCGCATTTGTGTTCCTCACGTGTGCCCCAAAGAATGAGGTGATTTGGTAAAATGCTATGCCCAAGATTACTATCCGAGTGCCGGCGGTGGGGTGGTTCAAATAGCTTCGGCTATCACCTCATTATGTCCGGTCGTGATGGTCAAGTGGATTAAGGCGTCTTGTACATACCAGTTGCGTTGCTCCTGGGAGTATGGGTTCGAGTCACTTCTGGGGTGTGAGTTTTCAGTTGCATATTGTCCTGGGGACCATTCAGGCTTGTTCGCATTTGTGTTCCTCACGTGTGCCCCAAAGAATGAGGTGATTTGGTAAAATGCTATGCCCAAGATTACTATCCGAGTGCCGGCGGTGGGGTGGTTCAAATAGCTTCGGCTATCACCTCATTATGTCCGGTCGTGATGGTCAAGTGGATTAAGGCGTCTTGTACATACCAGTTGCGTTGCTCCTGGGAGTATGGGTTCGAGTCACTTCTGGGGTGTGAGTTTTCAGTTGCATATTGTCCTGGGGACCATTCAGGCTTGTTCGCATTTGTGTTCCTCACGTGTGCCCCAAAGAATGAGGTGATTTGGTAAAATGCTATGCCCAAGATTACTATCCGAGTGCCGGCGGTGGGGTGGTTCAAATAGCTTCGGCTATCACCTCATTATGTCCGGTCGTGATGGTCAAGTGGATTAAGGCGTCTTGTACATACCAGTTGCGTTGCTCCTGGGAGTATGGGTTCGAGTCACTTCTGGGGTGTGAGTTTTCAGTTGCATATTGTCCTGGGGACCATTCAGGCTTGTTCGCATTTGTGTTCCTCACGTGTGCCCCAAAGAATGAGGTGATTTGGTAAAATGCTATGCCCAAGATTACTATCCGAGTGCCGGCGGTGGGGTGGTTCAAATAGCTTCGGCTATCACCTCATTATGTCCGGTCGTGATGGTCAAGTGGATTAAGGCGTCTTGTACATACCAGTTGCGTTGCTCCTGGGAGTATGGGTTCGAGTCACTTCTGGGGTGTGAGTTTTCAGTTGCATATTTTCCTGGGGACCATTCAGGCTTGTTCGCATTTGTGTTCCTCACGTGTGCCCCAAAGAATGAGGTGATTTGGTAAAATGCTATGCCCAAGATTACTATCCGAGTGCCGGCGGTGGGGTGGTTCAAATAGCTTCGGCTATCACCTCATTATGTCCGGTCGTGATGGTCAAGTGGATTAAGGCGTCTTGTACATACCAGTTGCGTTGCTCCTGGGAGTATGGGTTCGAGTCACTTCTGGGGTGTGAGTTTTCAGTTATGTATATATATATATATATATATATATATATATATATATATATATATATATATATATATATATATATATATATATATATATATATATATATATATATATATATATATATATATACTAGTATATTTTGGTAGCAGTCTTTCCTGTAGACATATATTATTAAATATGACCGAAAAAGTAAGATTAATAATTCTAACACGAATTTTCTCAATCTTTCGAACATTTCTTTTCACTGTTGGAGGTAAATCAAAAATCAATTCTCCAAAATTCATTTTTATTTCTAGTCTGACGCGACACGAGCGCGTTTCGTAAAACTTATTACATTTTCAAAGACTTTAGTTTACAAATACACAACTGAATAGAAGAATAGAACTTACGCATCTCCGATTTTATATCTACATTTGAGTGAGGTGGATGGGGTGAGGTGGCATTAATAGGGTATTAATTTCATCAACACAAGACAGAACAAGAGGTGGCATTAATAGGGTATTAATTTCATCAACACAAGACAGAACAAGAGGTGGCATTAATAGGGTATTAATTTCATCAACACAAGACAGAACAAGAGGTGGCATTAATAGGGTATTAATTTCATCAACACAAGACAGAACAAGAGGTGGCATTAATAGGGTATTAATTTCATCAACACAAGACAGAACACGAAACAATGGGTATTGAATAGAAGTGTTTGTAGAAAGCCTATTGGTCCATATTTCTTGATGCTTCTATATTGGAGCGGAGTCTTGAGGTGGGTAGAATATAATTGTGCATTAATTGGCTGTTGATTGCTGGTGTTGACTTCTTGATGTGTAGTGCCTCGCAAACGTCAAGCCGCCTGCTATCGCTGTATCTATCGATGATTTCTGTGTTGTTTACTAGGATTTCTCTGGCGATGGTTTGGTTGTGGGAAGAGATTATATGTTCCTTAATGGAGCCCTGTTGCTTATGCATCGTTAAACGCCTAGAAAGAGATGTTGTTGTCTTGCCTATATACTGGGTTTTTTGGAGCTTACAGTCCCCAAGAGGGCATTTGAAGGCATAGACGACGTTAGTCTCTTTTAAAGCGTTCTGTTTTGTGTCTGGAGAGTTTCTCATGAGTAGGCTGGCCGTTTTTCTGGTTTTATAGTAAATTGTCAGTTGTATCCTCTGATTTTTGTCTGTAGGGATAACGTTTCTATTAACAATATCTTTCAGGACCCTTTCCTCCGTTTTATGAGCTGTGGAAAAGAAGTTCCTGTAAAATAGTTTAATAGGGGGTATAGGTGTTGTGTTAGTTGTCTCTTCAGAGGTTGCATGGCGTTTCACTTTCCTTCTTATGATGTCTTCGACGAAACCATTGGAGAAGCCGTTGTTGACTAGGACTTGCCTTACCCTACAGAGTTCTTCGTCGACTTGCTTCCATTCTGAGCTGTGGCTGAGAGCACGGTCGACATATGCGTTAACAACACTCCTCTTGTACCTGTCTGGGCAGTCGCTGTTGGCATTTAGGCACATTCCTATGTTCGTTTCCTTAGTGTAGACTGCAGTGTGGAAACCTCCGCTCTTTTCCATGACTGTTACATCTAGAAAGGGCAGCTTCCCATCCTTTTCCATCTCGTAAGTGAAACGCAGCACGGAACTCTGCTCAAATGCCTCCTTCAGCTCCTGCAGATGTCTGACATCAGGTACCTGTGTAAAAATGTCGTCAACATACCTGCAGTATATGGCCGGTTTCAAGTTCATGTCGACTAAGACTTTTTGCTCGATGGTACCCATGTAGAAGTTTGCAAACAGGACACCTAGGGGAGAATCCATTTAGGGGTACCACCACTGGTTTAATTAAAGGGACCCACATCCTCGAAGAAGAAAATAAATAGTGTTCAGAGAAGACCTTGTGTATTCTCACTGAATACTTTAATCTTTTCCTCTCTTACCACCCCAATTATTTTTTTTATTTGATTTTATTGCAATGCTACAGTTTACAGAAAACACACACTTATATAAGAATATACCAATCAGTGTTCGAAGACCTCGTCCAGCTCCTTCGGGGTCGGGTGCGTACCCAAGATACAGCACGCATTTCCCCTCTGAACAGCGACACTGAGGCGCTGGAACATAAAACTGGCCGCTCTTGAGTCTCTAGTCTTCCCAATGAGTTCCTCGCCCAGCTCCTTCAGAAACTTAAGTGCACATTTACCCCAGGCGCCCAGAGTCTCAGAGCCTATTGGCACGAACCTGTAACAACGTTATAGGTCCCTATACTTGTTAGTTTTCTGGGTCTCCCTGAAGGTGGCCGCCCCGCCTCCCTCAGCTGCGCTGTAAGGTAGATAGGTATCAGCCAATGTGGATGCACACGTGTAGTCCCACACGACCTGTTTACCTTCCCTCCACGGCTGCAGGGTGACTCCATCTCCATCTGACTCCATCTCGTTTTTGGCTGTTGTCAGGTCTGCACAACTGAGGTTCCCTTTGTGCTGGGCACCCAGCTGAAGCCAAACTTCTCTTGATGATGTCATTGACTGCTTCATGTCTGGCAATCTTTCCCTGTGTCTTACGACAGATGAGATCATGGCTGCCGTATTAGTCTGCCCGTGCATGGCCGCAAATATATATATATATATATATATATATATATATATATATATATATATATATATATATATATATATATATATATATATAATTTTTTTATACATATTCGGACAATCTCGTTGATTTTCAGGTTGGGGATAGTTGTATTGACAGCAACTTGTGGGGGGCACCGGAATACATGACCATGGAGCGGCCTTCATACAAGATTGACGAGGAAAACCCAGGTTAGTCAGCCATTGAAGAACTGTGAACCCTTCCCCGTAAACTTCGTGATCAGTATCTTCGATGTCTTCCCTACTGGGACGCACTCTCTCTCTCTTCCACCATCCTAAATGATTACATATAAACTTAATTCAATGATATGTAGGTCCCAGTGCATGATTTGAAAGCATCTTGGCACTCGTGTTAGGGGCGTTAATTAACCCGCTTCCTTGCCCCTCTCAGGATCAGATTTGGCTTCTGAGACTGCAGCTGCCCTCGCCGCCTCCTACATGGTCTTCAAGGCGAGTGATGTTTCTATTTCCGTTTCCTCTTCCTATTGTTCCTGTCTCGTGTATTATCCTGCTATTCACGTTTACGTTGTTTTGCATTTTGGTCTTCATATGCTTAATTTTATTGTCTTGTCATTTTTGTGTTGGATCATATTATACTGTTATTTACTTTTCATAATTTTTTACAAAATTTCTTTGTCAACGCTTTCATTTACACTCTTTCGAGGTCACTTTCGTCACAGCATTAGTCATTTCACCTTTAGATTTTCCGGTGTGTTTCGATGTACTATCAATGACAGGAAGTCCCTTAGACTTATGGATGTTTTTCTATTCTCTGCAGAAGGTTGTATGTCTGGTCATCTGCCCTGTACAAATCTTAACTGGCTTTTGCGAGTTAATGCACTCATCATCCATTTGGCCTCACTGTGTTTAACACTTTGCCACTCTCCCCATACTAAATCTTTTGTATCTATCACCTTTCTTTATCCCTCATCAGAATGTGGATCTGGAGTATGCCACTCAGTTGCTCGACGTGGCCAAGGAACTTTATGAGTTCGCTGACAACTTCAGGGCGACTTACGACCAGTCCATCGATGACGCCTGCACCGGGTACCAGTAAGTATTTGGAACGTATGCAAACCTGCAGCTAACGCGAGTTACATGAATATTAGAAAATTGATATCGTAATATTGCGACAAAATAAGAGCTAATATAATAAACTAGATCTAACCTCCATCTTCTACTATCCATTATACTCTCTCTTCCTCCGCTCTCATTTGTATTCCCCTATCATTTCCATCTATCCCTCTCCCACATATCTTCCCTCTACTCACTCTTCACGTTCCTCTCCATCATCCCTCTTCTTCCCATCTCCACCCGCTCTCACAATCTCCCCTCCCCTTTCTCATTCTCTCATCTCTCCCCTTCCTCTTCATTCCCATCTTTTCTATTTCCATCTTTTTCCCTTGACTCCCAACATCCATCACGCTCTGCTCCTCTATCTTTCCTCTTCTCTCTCTCTTTCTCTCTCTCTCTCTCTCTCTCTCTCTCTCTCTCTCTCTCTCTCTCTCTCTCTCTCTCTCTCTCTCTCTCTCTCTCTCTCTCTCTCTCTCTCTCTCTCTCTCTCTCTCTCTCTCTCTCACTCACAAAATCACCTGAGTCTCCATTGATGCCGATATTCCTTAAATGGTGGCACTAGGGACAACTCTGACTTGCCTATAACACATACCCGCTCGATTCATCTTTGCGAAGTCTGGTGAGCGTCTTTCTCACTTCAACTTCGGACAAACAAGCAGACAGACATTCTCTTTTGTAGATAAAGATAATTTTAAAGATATATATTTGCCAGAACACAAGTAGACTGTCAAAAGTAGACTGCATTTCACACAAAATCGCACACAAGGCGGGACTCAAGAGTTAGCACTAGAACCTGCAGAGCATGTTCCAGGTGAATACACATAAGAGAGTGCATAATAGTGAGGGAAACAGCATCGCCAACACTGCCAACACACCAAGTTGTGGCACCTCTTATCTCATATCACAGATATCACGACTTGCAAGCAAATGTACTTCAATCTGAAGTACATTTGCTTGCTGAAGGGAAGTCTGAAGGGAAGACGTGAATTCTAAGTGGCAGTAATGTGCTGGAATTGCACTGAGACATATTAATGTCCTTGGATGACCAGAGTGGCGGAAATGTTCTTGGCTGTCTGAGTGGCAGTAATGTTCATGGCATATCTGAGTGGCAGTAATGTTCTTGGCTGATCAGAGTGGCGGAAATGTTCTTGGCTGATCTGAGTGGCAGAAATGTTCTTGGCTGATCTGAGTGGCAGTAATGTTCTTGGCTGATCTGAGTGACAGTAATGTTTTTGGCTGATCTGAGTGGCAGTAATGTTCTTGGCTGATCACAGTGGCGGAAATGTTCTTGACTGATCTGAGTGGCAGTAATGTTCTTGGCTGATCTGAGTGGCAGAAATGTTCTTGGCTGATCTGAGTGGCAGAAATGTTCTTGGCTGATCTGAGTGGCAGTAATGTTCTTGGCTGATCTGAGTGGCATTAATGTCCTTGGATGATCTGTGTGGCAGTAATGTCCTTGGCTGATCTGTGTGGCAGTAATGTCCTTGGATGATCTGAGTGGCAGTAATGTTCGCCCGCTGCTGGCAGAATCACCCACCGCGAGTTAGTACGCCCACTGCTGGCAGACTCACCCACCGCGAGTTAGTACGCCCACTGCTGGCGGACTCACCCACCGCGAGTTAGTACACCCGCTGCTGGTGGACCCACCCACCGCGAGTTAGTACGCCCGCTGCTAGTGGACTCACCCACCGCGAGTTAGTACGCCCTCTGCTGGTGGACCCACCCACCGCGAGTTAGTACGCCCGCTGCTAGCGGACTCACCCACCGCGAGCTAGCACGCCCTCTGCTGGCGGACTCACCCACCGCGAGTTAGTACGCCCTCTGCTGGCGGACTCACCCACCGCGAGTTAGTACGCCCGCTGCTGGCGGACTCACCCACCGCGAGCTAGCACGCCCTCTGCTGGCGGACTCACCTACCGCGAGTTAGTACGCCCTCTGCTGGTGAACTCACCCACCGCGAGTTAGTACGCCCTCTGCTGGTGGACCCACCCACCGCGAGTTAGTACGCCCACTGCTGGCGGACTCACCCACCGCGAGCTAGCACGCCCTCTGCTGGTGGACTCACCTACCGGGAGCTAGCACGCCCACTGCTGGCGGACTCACCCACCGGGAGCTAGCACGCCCTCTGCTGGTGGACTCACTCACCGGGAGCTAGCACGCCCTCTGCTGGTGGACTCACTCACCGGGAGCTAGCACGCCCACTGCTGGTGGACTAACTCACCGGGAGCTAGCACGCCCTCTGCTGGTGGACTCACCCACCGGGAGCTAGCACGCCCTCTGCTGGTGGACTCACTCACCGGGAGCTAGCACGCCCACTGCTGGCGGACTCACTCACCGGGAGCTAGCACGCCCTCTGCTGGTGGACTCACTCACCGGGAGCTAGCACGCCCTCTGCTGGCGGACTCACCCACCGGGAGCTAGCACGCCCTCTGCTGGTGGACTCACTCACCGGGAGCTAGCACGCCCACTGCTGGTGGACTAACTCACCGGGAGCTAGCACGCCCTCTGCTGGTGGACTCACTCACCGGGAGCTAGCACGCCCTCTGCTGGTGGACTCACTCACCGGGAGCTAGCACGCCCTCTGCTGGCGGACTCACCCACCGGGAGCTAGCACGCCCTCTGCTGGCGGACTCACTCACCGGGAGCTAGCACGCCCTCTGCTGGTGGACTCACTCACCGCGAGCTAGCACGCCCTCTGCTGGCGGACTCACTCACCGGGAGCTAGCACGCCCTCTGCTGGTGGACTCACTCACCGCGAGCTAGCACGCCCTCTGCTGGTGGACTCACTCACCGGGAGCTAGCACGCCCACTGCTGGCGGACTCACCCACCGGGAGCTAGCACGCCCTCTGCTGGCGGACTCACTCACCGGGAGCTAGCACGCCCACTGCTGGCGGACTCACTCACCGGGAGCTAGCACGCCCTCTGCTGGTGGACTCACCCACCGGGAGCTAGCACGCCCTCTGCTGGCGGACTCACCCACCGGGAGCTAGCACGCCCACTGCTGGCGGACTCACTCACCGGGAGCTAGCACGCCCTCTGCTGGTGGACTCACTCACCGGGAGCTAGCACGCCCTCTGCTGGCGGACTCACCCACCGGGAGCTAGCACGCCCTCTGCTGGTGGACTCACTCACCGGGAGCTAGCACGCCCTCTGCTGGTGGACTCACTCACCGGGAGCTAGCACGCCCACTGCTGGCGGACTCACTCACCGGGAGCTAGCACGCCCTCTGCTGGTGGACTCACCCACCGGGAGCTAGCACGCCCATTGCTGGCGGACTCACCCACCGGGAGCTAGCACGCCCTCTGCTGGCGGACTCACTCACCGGGAGCTAGCACGCCCGCTAGCGAAAAATGCCACGTGCCCGGGTGAAGAGTTTTCCAAGTGTCATAAATGTTCAGTGAATTAAATTTAAATATTTCATAATTCAATTATGAAATATTTCATAATATCCTGAAATACGCTGACGCAATCTAATAGGTTGGTCTTGTTCAAAGTTCAAGTTGTATTCTATTGAGTTAAGTACAAGATGGAAATCTTGTACTAAAATGTTAAAATAAAATGAAATAAATGTTTATTATTTTCAAGGAAATATTATTCTTTTGTAGAATCAAGGCACTGTGATGCTCGGAATATGACGAGAAACTGTCTTGTAATTAGTCCTCACATGTCTACCAAGTTTACTACCTTGAGATGATTTCGGGGTTTAGCGTTTCCGCGGCCTGTCCTCGACCAGGCCTCCATTTTGTTTCACACCCCCCAAGGAAGCAGCTGTCTAACTTCTTGGTACCTATTTATTGCTAGGTGAGCAGAGTCATCAAGGTGAAAGAAACTCTGCCGATTTGTTTCCGCCTCCACCGGGATTCGAACCCCGGAACCTTAGGACTTCGAATCCCGAGCGCTGCCCACTTATCTGTCAGGTCCTTTCTGAACCTAATTATTATTGTAGCCAATTAATTTGATACTTAATTCTGATGTGTTTTTCTTGATTACTACTGAAGCAAAATGTTACATAATATGGTGATCACCTTCCTGTTCAGGTCGAGCCGGGCAGCCATATGTTCATATGCTACAATATGTATATTTTACTTGTATTTCTTACCTGTCCAAGAATTCATGTAAACAGTGTCTAACCTATTCTGTGGCATACAAGTTAGCGCAGTTGGTTCACAAGCAGTTGTATCCAAGTTCGGTTCCCAACAAGACGAGACATTAAGGCATGTGCCCTTACACCTGATAACTTTATTCACCTAGCAATAAATAGGGACATAGGATTTAGGTCACTGTTTTTGGGCTGCATCAAGGCGGAATTTTAGTCATTGGCCTTGATTAGCCTAATAGGCTTCTTTTCCATGACAATGGGAAATATAATGCACAGATGGTCTTCTGTAGTAGGACACATTAGTGTTACATGGGACCGCTTTTGGGTTATGAGTATAACTTCATGGGTTATGTATACGTGAATGAACTAACTGTGCACACTACAACAAGCAGAGTTAAGTAAACACACAGTCACTCCAGTACCTTTTTCCGCCCAGCTCGTGGAGCGGGTACGGGGACGAGCTGTGCTGGGCTGGTCTCTGGCTCGCCAGGGCGACGGGCAACGACTCCTACCTCACCCGCGTCAAGGGCCATTGGGACGAGTTTGGGTTCGAGTACTCTGCTGCTTATCAGTTCTCCTGGGACGACAAGACAGCAGGAGTCTATGTGAGTCAAAGTTTCCTTCAAGTTTCCACAGTTTTAACATCTATCTTGCAGACAATATAAGTGGGATCTTATATTGCATATACATATGTAGTTCCTGAAGGGACACTGTAATACATGCCGGGTCACAGAGAGCTGTTTTCACTTGCTAGTTCTTTGCTTTGCAAACAGGCTAACGTACCTGAAATCTGTAAAAATTTTATGAGTTCACCAATGTTTTTACAGTAGATCACAACGACCATGTTTTAGGCAATTTTAATATTTTCTTTGCTATTTTGTCGTTGATTGAACCTCATTGTCACAGTTTCTCAATTTACAGCTAACTTATTTACTCGATTACATCATATAGATTTGTTTCCTTCATTCACAGGCACTTTACTGGCTGTTGGACGGCTCCCAGGACTATCTGGACCACCTTAATAGGCACTTAAACTGGCTGAAGGACAGCGCTCCCTACACCCCTGAGGGCCTGGTCTTCCTTGGTGACTGGGGCTCCAACAGGTATGCCGCTAACGCGGCCTTCTTGAGTCTCTGGGTAAGTACTTCTACCTGCTGTACCTTGAAGATATTAATAAAGGCATCGAGCAGTCGAGATATTATAAAAAAATAGTACAGTGTTAGAGGTTACTCCACCCAGTATATTAACAAAAGCCATCCAGCATTTAAGCACCTGACAAAATATTTGAGTTGATTGCAAGTATTATCAAAATTGTTATAAGAATGTGCATGACTTATTTCCTGCCCTTAGAAGATTCATGCTACGACGTAGATGAGAGAATAAACACGTCTTAATAAACTAACAACTTGATTCAGCACCTCACAAAATTGCAACTTTCACTGTTTCCTTTCAAACAAAATGGGAAAGAATGAATATGAACAACAGCTTAACATGAGACAGATTTTGTTATCGTTTAATTAAATTAAGTTCAAGTTCAAGTACGTTTAATGAGACAATATTCTACATTTCAAAAGGATTCTTATCATTAGTGAAATCAAGCGCTTTGCCTTTCTTTTCTTACAAGGCTGCCAAATACGGCGTTGATACAGACCTGAACAATGAGTGGGGAGCAAGACAGATGGACCAGCTATTGGGCGCCAACACCCGCTATAATATGTCCTTCGTCGTCGGCTTCGGAGACAAATACCCTGAAAGACCCCACCATCGGGGCAGGTACGCATAGTCACATTCTCTCTCCCTCTCCCTTTTACACACACACATACACACACACACACACACACACACACACACACACACACACACACACACACACACACACTTGGATTGTCAGAAAGCCTTTGACACAGTGCCACACAAGAGGCTAGTGAAAAAACTGGAGATGCAGGCTGGAGTGAAAGGGAAGGTACTCCGTTGGATACAGGAGTACCTAAGTAACAGGAGACAACGAGTCAGTGTGAGGGGTGAGGTCTCAGATTGGCGAGACGTTACGAGTGGAGTACCGCAGGGGTCAGTCCTTGGACCTATACTGTTTCTGATATATGTAAATGATCTTCCAGAGAGTATAGAATCGTTTCTCTCAATGTTTGCCGATGATGCAAAAATTATGAGGAGGATTGAAACTGAGGACGATAGTAGGAGGCTACAAGATGACCTAGACAGACTGAGTGAATGGTCCAACAAATGGCTGTTGAAGTTCAACCCGAGTAAATGCAAAGTAATGAAACTAGGTGGTGGAAATAGGAGGCCAAACACAGGATACAGAATAGGAGATGAAGTCCTTAATGAAACGAACAGAGAGAAAGATCTAGGAGTTGATATCACACCAAACCTGTCTCCTGAAGCCCACATAAAAAGAATAACGTCTGCGGCATATGCGAGGCTGGCTAACATCAGAACAGCGTTCAGGAACCTGTGTAAGGAATCATTCAGAATCTTGTACACCACATATGTAAGACCAATCCTGGAGTATGCGGCCCCAGCATGTAGCCCGTACCTTGTCAAGCACAAGACGAAGCTGGAAAAAGTCCAAAGGTATGCCACTAGACTAGTCCCAGAACTAAGAGGCATGAGTAATAGGAAAGGCTGCGGGAAATGCACCTTACGACACTGGAAGACAGAAGAGTAAGGGGAGACATGATCACAACCTACAAAATCCTCAGAGGAATCGACCGGGTAAACAAGGATAAACTATTCAACACTGGTGGGACGCGAACAAGGGGACACAGGTGGAAACTGAGTACTCACATGAGCCACAGAGACGTTAGAAGGAACTTTTTTAGTGTCAGAGTAGTTAACGGATGGAATGCATTAGGCAATTATGTGGTGGAGGCTGACTCCATACACAGTTTTAAATGTAGATATGATAGAGCCCAGTAGGCTCAGGAATCTGTACACCAGTTGATTGACAGTTGAGAGGCGGGACCAAAGAGCCAAAGCTCAACCCCCGCAAGCACAAATAGGTGAGTACAAATAGGTGAGTACACACACACACACACACACACACACACACACATACACACACACACACATTTGTAGCACTTGTAGACGAGTAGTGGCAGCGGTCCTTGTATACCGAGGGAACAATAGGGTCAAGGGAGCGGGTGTACTATGCAGTGGGAATCGGGACAGTGTGAATCGAACAGTGGCATTGTAATGCAACACATTGATCACATATTGTGGTGAATTATCTTAGTGAATTTAGAGAAGATAGCTAGTGAAGGTCGATTCCTTGAGGCAGCATCAGTCGCATCAGCCGGGACCCACATGGAGACCTGAAGACCACCACAGGATTTACAATACAATACAATACAATACAATTTTATTTAGGTAAGGTACATACATACAATAAATATTTACAAGGATTGTTTAACTTATAGGTATAGCTAGTACATACAATGCCTAAAGCCACTATTACGCAAAGCGTTTCGGGCATAATTAATTCGGATTACGACCCGCCATGTATTTCACCTTGAGTGTTTGCAGGGAACTGGCTGGTAAGTGTCTCTCTAAGTCTTCAAAAGTGGGCAAGGTTTATATAATATCATTTCATAGACATTAATGCATTCCATTCAATAATACAACCATAAGTGGTAGTCAGGTAACAAGGACAGAAAGTGTGGGCTCACTGGGAACCCAGGTAAGCCGCTAATCCCCTGCTGTAATCTGAAGACAACACCTCACCCCACCACCCACCAGCAACCACATGTCTCTCCCACCACCTGACCACCTGACCTTAAGTGACCATCTCTGCCCCCTCCCACCCCCTAGGTTCCCATGCATCCCCCCTCTACAAACACACACACACACACACACGCAAACACACAAAGTCAGTGTGTGTTATTCACTATACACCCCTCTGTTCCACTCTTTTCCACTCCTCTCTCTCACCCCTCTCATCCCACTCTCACCTCTCTCTAACCCCTCTCTCTCACCCCACTCTCACCCCTCTCTCCCACCCACTCTCTATCTCTCTCTCTTTAGCGCTTTCTATCTCTCCTGCTCTCTCTCTCTCTCTCTTTAGCGCTTTCTATCTCTCCTGCTCTCTCTCTCTCTTTAGCTCTCTCTATCTCTCCTGCTCTCTCTCTCATTAGCTCTCTCGATCTCTCCCTCTCTCTTGCTTTAGCTCTCTCTCTCTCTCTCTCTCTCTCTCTCTCTCTCTCTCTCTCTCTCTCTCTCTCTCTCTCTCTCTCTCTCTCTCTCACCCTGCTTGCCCTCCTCCTGACAAATCCTATCACAGCATAACAGGAACAGGGGCTAGCATGATGGCCAGAGGTAACAGGGGAACAGGGAAAAGTCAAGGTGATGAAATGATGGAAATGTTTGTCTAGATTTTTGAGTATATCAAGAGTGAGATGCAGGGAATGATGCAGGAAATGAATAAAAAAATATGCAATCTGAAAAGAGAGCTGACAGCAGCAAAAGAGGAGATTAGAACCCACAAGGAGAACAGTGTTGATGCTGAGACTCAAATAGTCATCAAAGGAGAAGGTGGAAATAGTATCCTGGAAGAGAATGCCACCATAAAAGCTACATTTGCAGAAATGCTAAAAAAAATAACTCTGAAGTCCACAATGATGGAGGTGGCCATGAAAGCAGCCACCTCTCAGGAAGTGCCGCGCTCCACTACCCAGCTGCCGGAAAGAAAAAAATTAGTGGTAGCTGTGGGTATTAAAAAGGAGGAAGGCTCCAGTAGGACAGAGTGGAATGATAAGGACAATGCAGCAGTGAATGAAATACTGAAGGCACTAGAAATGGAGGGGATGAGCATAGAATTGAGAAGGTTTTCAGGCTAGGCTGGTACAACAAAGACCGAGACCATGTGTTAAGGATAGTGTTTGCAAACGAGAAAACAAAGGAGATGATTCTAACAAGGAAAAGCCACCTGCAAAATGTGGGAGAATTAAAAAAAGTATTCCTCCAGAGGGATGTGACGAGGGAGGAGAGAGCCATGGCGGCAGAAGCAAGGAAGAAGCGCAGAACGAGAGGGGAAAAGAAGGAACTCACAGCTCCCAACACAACATCCCCTAGATGTGAGGGGGGGAACCCACAACCAGCTACCCAGTAACACCAGAGGGGAGGGCAACCACACCCCCTCCTCTGCATAGAAAACTCACCTACCCAAAACCCTCCCTGCCCCCACTCAAATGCTCAGCCAAATATCTCTCCCCCCACACCCCGTTCCCACCCTGCTACCCCTCCCCTCCTCCCGTCGTGTCCCCCCTCCCCTCCTCCCGTCGTGTCCCCCCTCCCCCCTTTTCCTTCCGGTCATCCCTCCCCTTTCATCCCATACCCTCCCTGCCCCCCCCCCCATTCACTTGAACCCCCGCCCATCACCCCAGTATCCTCTGAACCCCTGTTTCCCACCTCACAAATCCTCACACCCATGGAACAGCTTCCCCGACTTGCTTGCAACTTCTGTTGCAAGCAGGAATGGATCTGGACTACTAATCATGGGAGACTTCAAGCATGGGAAGATATATTGGGAGAACAGAGATCCGCATGGAGGACCAGAAACATGGAGAGCTAAGCTCCTGGACATGGCAAAAGACACTTTCTAAGCCATCTATTCTAAGCTTTCTAAGTTCCTTTCATCAAGGAACCAACAAGTATGAGAGGAGAAGATAACCAGCCATGCTCGATCTGATATTTACCCTAAATGAGTGGGATCTATAAGGGAAGTTAAGATGGAAACACCCTTAGGAATGAGTTAACAGAGTGTATTAACCTTTAAATACCTGGTAGGGCTAGGAATTATCTCCCCAAAAAATGAACTAGGAATCAAAAGGCTGGCATACCGAAAGGGGAACTATGAGGTGATGAGAAGTTTCCTAAGGGAAACACCTTGGGACACAGACCTCAGAGCTAAGTCTGTAACAGATATGATGGACTATGTCACCCAAAAGTGTCAGGAGGCAGTAAACAGGTTCATCCCGTCCCAAAGAGAGAAATCCGAGAAGCAAAAGAAGAATCCATGGAATAATAGGGAATGTATGGAAGCAAAGGGACTGAACAAAAGAGCAAGGAGGAACTTTCAGAATAACAGAACACCAGAATGCAGAGAGAGATACCAGAGAACCAGGAATGAGTATGTTAGGGTGAGAAGAGAAGCAGAGAAAAATTTAAAAAATGATATAGCAAACGAAGCCAAGACCGAACCAAAGGTACTCCATAGTCACATTAGGAGGAAAACAACAGTGAAAGAACATGTAATGAAACTTAGAACAGGCGAGGACAGGTATACAGAGAATGACAAAGAGATGTGTGAAGAACTCAACAAGAGGTTCCAGGGGGTCTTCACAATAGAACAAGGAGGGGAGAAAGACTGTGCTAGGAGAAAGGGAAGTAAACCAGGTGGCCTTGGAAGGGTTCGAAATTACGATTGAGGAGGTCAAGAGATACCTGCTGCATCTGGATGTTAGAAAGGCTGTTGGTCCAGACGAGATCTCACTATGGGTACTGAAAGAGTGTGCAGAGGCACTTAGCTTGCCACTCTCAATAGTGTACAGTAGGTCACTGGAGACGGGAGAGCTACCAGAAATATGGAAGACGGCGATTGTGGTCCCAATATACAAAAAGGGCGACAGGCAAGAGGCACTGAACTACAGGCCAGTGTCCTTGAATTGTATACCATGCAAGGTGACGGAAAAGATTGTGTGAAAAAACCTAGTAACACATCTGGAGAGAAGGGATTTCGTGATAAATCGCCAACATGG